GGGAGGGACGGAGGGAGGGACGGAGGGAGGGAGAGAGAAACATCAATGTGAGAGACACATCAATTGGTTGCTCCCCACACACACCGGACTGGAGTGGGATCTAACTGAAACCCAGGTACGTGCCCTTGAAGGCAAACTGAACCCTCAACCCTTTGCTGTGCTAACTGACTGACACTCTAACCACTTGAGACACACAGGCCAGGGCTAAAGTATTAATAATTTTTAAGACTACTAATATTTCATACTTTTTAACAGTGTACTAAATTTAGGTTGGCCTGATATGAATAGGGAAAAAAAAAAAGCAAACACTTCAAGTCCCTTTAAAAGGGACTAAAATTTAGGTCAATGATTCTTAAAGTGGGGTCCCCAGACCAGTGGCATCAGCATCACCAGGAAGCTTGTTAAAATGCAAATTCTCCACTCTCACCTCAGAAATGTGATCAGAACCAGGTCGTTCTGATGCATGCTAAAGTGTGAGGCCTACTGGTTTAGACACTAGCTGCAGCAGCAGTACAGAAACTGCCAGATAAGCAGTGCAACCTTTTTTGAACTTTATAATTTATTCCAATGGCCTAGTACCATCTTCATGATTACTACATTTAACATATACACAATTACACACATAACTGATGTCTAAGTTGTTGTCCTTGACAGAATGTGTGTAAAAAAGCCATGGCTTCTGTCTGTAAAGAGATGGTTTGGGGAAAAAAACAAATGGACTTGCATTTAGTTTTCCCAAATGATATTTCTTGACTCCCTTCACCCCTGCTCTGCCTCCAATGAAAGAATCAGAGGGGGAAACACTACTACTAGCAGGTACTATTCTACTTCTTTTGACAGAGCATGAGGATTTTATTAGGTGATATAAACACACCTTATCACTTGCAGATATCAGTTATCATGTGTAAATAGCTATGTCCAAGCCTGTTTTAAAAAACAATTAAACCCAGCCGGGCGTGGCTTGGCGGTTGAGCATCCACCTAGGATCCANCCTAGGATCCAGGAGATCGAGGTTTGATTCCCGGTCAGGGCACAGGCCCGGGTTGTGGGCTCGATCCCCAGTCAGGGGCGTGCAGGAGGCAGCCGATCAATGACGACTCTCTCATCATTGATGTTTCTATCTCTCTCCCTCTCCCTTCCTCTCTGAAATCAATAAAGATATATTTTTTTTAAAAATTGTATTATGTATCTTGGGTGTGCACCATAGTTTAATATATACATCTGAAATGAATATGAGAGTTTAGCTAAAACAAGACAAAGCCTCCATTTACCTTTAAATGTTTTAATTGTGTGGGGTTTTTTAGTATATCTTTATTGATTTCAGAGAAGGGAAAGGAGAGGGAGAGAGAAACATCAATGATGAGAGAGTCATCATTGATCGGCTGCCTCCTGCACGCCCCTGACTGGGGATCGAGCCCACAACCCGGGCCTGTGCCCTGACCGGGAATCAAACCTCGATCTCCTGGATCCTAGGCTGACGCTCAACCACTGAGTACGCCGGCCAGGCCATAATACAATTTTTGATGAAACTTAGTTTCATAATCCCTTAAAAAGGCACATGTAGAATCAAATTATTCCATTTAAGACTTAAGATTCGGGCCCTGGAGCAGTGTAATCCATAGACATAAAATCCATTTATGTAATTTTAAAAAATGAAATGAGTGATATTAATGTTAAATCATTTTGTTTAACCTTACATATTAAAAATATCATTTCAACACGTAAACAATATAAAATTAATGAGATTTTACCCTTTTTATGCTCTCTTCAAAATCTTGCATGCATTTTACGCATATAGCACATCTCAATCAGAATGCTCTATTTTAACTGGAAATACTTGATTTTTATTTAGGTTGAATAGAATGTATCATTGCAAAAGTAGGTAGGATACCCAAATGGTTTCAAACATCCTAAAAAGTTTTCCAGTAGCCTATCAGTTTTGATGTTTACATTAATAAAAAAATAAATAAAAGTAACCCCCGGCTGGTGTGGCCCAGCGGCTGGCGCATGGTGCGCAGGCCGAGGGGCTGCGGGTTCCACCTCCCGCCCCGACCGGGCGCGTCTGGGGGAGCAGCCTGTCCGCGTCGCTCTCGCATCCGTGTCCCCCCCCCCAATAAAAAGCGGTTTCTCAATCAAACTGGCCACGTCCCAAGTCCTCAGTAGCTGCAGGTGGCCGGCGGCTACCACGTGGGGCAGCTCAGCTCCGGGGCTGTCTCGGGCCCCGGGCCCTCGGGGAACATCCCGGCTTGGCCGCTTCCTGGCTGCTTAGCAACCACCCGGCGGTCCAGGCTTCCGTCCTACCTTC